GCCGGCTGTGCTTCGTGGCTTATCCTGGGCCCAAATTGAGGCGCTGCGGCCCTTGGACGTGGACAGCGGGCCGGAATGGAAGGCTGAGTTTGGCTACTACTTCCACAGCAGCATGATCCGCTTCTCGTGGGCCCTGGACGACGTGGAGGACAAGATCGATGCTTTGCCGAGTCGGCAAGAGCGGAAGAGAGCAAAGAAGGTGCGGACGACATCTTTACTAGGTCCTAGATCGGTTTATGGTTCGTTGTCGGATCGGTGGTCGCGACCGACTCGCTTTGATGTGTTCGGCCTCGACTGGCGCAGGCTTTCAATTTTCTCGTGGACAAGGACAACTGCAACTACTGGAAATGGATCGAGCGGCACCGGCGCTTCATGAACGACAATCCCCGGGCCACGGATGAGCGCCGTAAGAGGCCACTTCGCTACATCGAGGAAGAGGGCATCGAGACCGCTGTGTGGCCACATCTCTACTGGGATACCCGGCTCTGTGAGACGGCCACTCGCCTAGCGGACGTTCGTCGCAAGCAGCGGGCTGGCCATCAACAAGATCCAGAAGACGATCCCATGGGTGACGCGACGGGGGGGCAAGAAGACAGCAGCGGCCGCCAAAGTCTCAAGCGGAGCTTCCTCCTCAAAGCCTTCGGGCCCACAGCGGACTACGCTGGTGACTACAACCTCTTGCACTTCGTCTTCGACCTGTCCACTTGGTCGGACATCGGCGGAAAGAAGGGCGCTCTGCGAGGCATGCCGATGTGGCAAGCCATGAAAGGCGCTGCCTGGACTCCTCAATACTGGCAGGTTCGCCACGCGGCCGCCTTGGACATGCAAGCTCAGTGCGGTTACCCGGTCGCTTTCATCACTTGGGCTCCCTTCGAGTGGTCCGCTCCCTACCACGAAGCACTTCTGCAGCAGACGCGAGATTTAGGCCGGCAACGTCTAGGGTTGGCCGGGCCTGAATCTTTGCATTTGGCACATCTCTTGACTGAGCTCTTCAGGGAATGGGTCTGTGGTGGCGGCCGCAAGTTCGGCGATGCCACGTCGCAGTGGAAGGCAGCTCTGTTTGGTGGCACGAAGCCGGATGGCAGTCGGGTTAAGGTCAACTTCGTGGGCCGCTTGGAATTCCAAGACGGCAAGCGGAAAGAGTCGACCCAAGACTACCATGGTCGAGGCGCCGTGCATCTCCATGGGCTGGTCTTTGCCGAGAGCATCAAGCACATGAAGTTGCACGAGAAGTTCTCCGCGACTGTGCCTGCGGAAGGCGACCCGCTGAGAGGCTTGGTGCTCGATGGCCAAACGAGCAGGACGGGCAGCGGCTGGCCGGTCTTTGAAGGACCTTCTCACTATGACGCGGCCGTGGACAAGGTGAAGCTTCACCACTCCATGGAGGACAAGCGGCTCGGCGTGCGAGGCTACAGCCCAGAAGTCCTGGACGTCTTGAAATGCCATCAGGATGCGCAGATCGAGCGCGGCACCGGCCTCATGCTCAAGTACGCCGCCACCTACTTGCCCAAGTTCAGTGACGGTCCTGGCAAGGAGCTCATGGATGACAGTAGCAGCGGCTATGGAGCTGCCAGGCGTGCCCTTTTCACTTTTCATCCCGGAGAGCCTGAGATGTGGCTGCTGCTGGCCAATCAAAGCTTCCCCATGTTCGTGATGGGTGGGGCTATGCAGCCGATCATCGCGCCGCACCCAGGCATGGAGCAGCCCCCGGCTTACGTGGCGCTCTACGAGCAGGCCGCCTGGGGCGGCGAGATGACTCTCCTGGAGTACTTGCGCAGGGTCAACAACAAGGGCAACATCTTGGAGCACATCCGGAAGGCCCACATGAAGGACACCAGAGGCCTCAGTTTAGAGAGCTTCGCGGTCCGTTACGAGACCTTTGGCGAGAAAATCATAGCTGCGGAGATGGTGTCCATGCTCAACGATAAGCCGCTCGGTTCGAAACCGTTATTTGACGGCGACGGGTTGTTCAAAGGCGTCGCCGTCTTACGGTCGCCTCGCGCTCGACCGCTGTTGAGGTACTATGGCCAGTGGATGGCATTGAACGTACCCTTCCAGACGCTGAGTGGCTTGCTTGTGCCAGACATCGTGGACAAGGTGCCTGAACACAAGCCGCTGGTAGAGGCCATGGGTATCATTGACGTGCTATGATCTGATCGTCGTCGACGAGGCCGTCCAACTTTTTGAAGAGCATTTTGAACGGCTGGATCAAATGTGGCGGGCGGCGGGCAAGGTTCCGTGCCTGGTCTTCGTGGGCGATGAGTGGCAGTTGCCGCCGCCGGACAACACCAAGCGCAGCCTTGTCCACCACCCCAAATGGCGCCTGGTCTACAAGATTGAGCTCCACAAGGTCTGGCGCCAAGCCGACGGAGACCCCTTGCTGGAGAAGCTGGCCTACCTGCGCAAGAACCGGCCCATGGGCGGGGAAGGCAGCGCCTTTGTGCGAGATATGTGCAGAGGTCACAAAGCCTGGTCTGTGCACCACGAGCCCACGAACCTGGACATCCAAGACTTGCTGCGCAAAACCGATGGGGCTACCACTGTCATCACGTGCACTCGATGGGGCGCTGCTCTGGTTAACGCTTTGGCCGTGGAGGTGCTCTTCGAGCTACCCGGCCGCATCAAATTGGGCGGCGTAGGCGCTGACTACGAGGGCAACCCCGACAACTACCATTGGAACGGGGTGGCCTACGAGATGAGGCAGGATCAAAGCCCGGAGCCCTTGAAATTAGACCTCTACGAAGGTCTGCGGATCCGCCTGACCCGGAACATGAACAAGAGGCTGGACTATGTGAACGGCATGACGGCCACGGTCCAAGCCTTCGACCGGTCTTCCGGGGGCGTCATTGTGGAGACCGAGACCAAGCAGGTGCTCTGCGTGTACCCCGTGACGGAAGATGCCGCCGGCGGCCGGGTGGTCTACTACCCGATGAAGCCCGGGTACGCAGACACCGTGCACAAGTTCCAGGGGGCGGAGCTGGCCCACGTGACGTTTTGGCCTGACAGGGAAGGGTGCGCAGCTGCGCAGCTGCTGCCTATGTGGCTTTATCCAGAGTTAAGAAGGACACCGACTACCTCTTGGGGGGCTACATCAAGCCGGAGCACTTCGTTCCTGCCAGGTGAGCGGTCTAAGCGGTAGCCCGGTCGCATTTGTACAGTAGGCGCATCGTGGACGGCTCTAGGCCAAGAAGGATGTCCTTGAAAACAGTGGACGCCCTTGGCCGAAGGCCACGGACAGAACATAGGGTCGTGCTTGGCGACGAAAAAAACATAGCATCCTGCGTTCAGACGGCGAATCGGCGAGTTATGTGTCTTTGTTGAAACATTGTTCCGCAAAGCCGGCGGACCTTATAAATTCTGATGGGCAGATGGCCAGCAAAGACACTCCCACCATCGTCCCGGATCGGCAGCTTGGGTTCAAATTAGAATTCATAACATCACTAACTTCCTATAATAACTTGAAGCTCGGCCGCAACCCCTTGCTCAGTCGCCGGCGTTGCGGCCTCGCCTCTTTTTTTTTGCGCTTGTCGGCTTTGCCTGCATATGCTCCTTTGTTTG